TATACCTTACATCATGTTGTTGTGATTGAGTGGTATACCTTGTATCATGTTGTGATTGAGTGGTATACATTATATCATGTTGTGATTGAGTGATATACCTTGTATCATGTTGTTGTGATTGAGTAGTATACCTTACATCATGTTGTTGTGATTGAGTGGTATACCTTGTATCACGTTGTTGTGATTGAGTGGTATACTTTGTTTCATGTTGTTGTGATTGAGTGGTATACCTTACATCATGTTGTTGTGATTGAGTGGTATACCTTGTATCACGTTGTTGTGATTGAGTGGTATACTTTGTTTCATGTTGTTGTGATTGAGTGGTATACCTTACATCATGTTGTTGTGATTGAGTGGTATACCTTGTATCATGTTGTGATTGAGTGGTATACCTTGTATCATGTTTTTGTGATTGAGTGGTATACCTTGTATCATGTTGTTGGGATGGAGTGGTATACATTGTATCATGTTGTATTATATACGTGATGGTCTTGATGATTCCTGTCTGCTAGTACCACTAGGGATAATATTGTTTATTTACAAATTTTGTGTTTCAATAATTTGTCTTTAGCAATTGGTTTTGACATCAGCATGACTTAGATTTATGTATAAAGTCCGGTCTAAAGCCAGTTTGTGTTAGCAAGAGTTTTACTGCACTTGCAACACACTAAGGTCAAATAAGTGCCTCAGATTAGAGATGTTGCAAGAGAGTAGCGGACACAAGAGAAGAAGGAGGAGAAATAAAGACGGTGGATGATAATACGATTATGCGTTTGGAGAGAAGGAGCAAACCACTTACACCAGAGCACCCACCAAACACCCACGGTCTAAAGCCATCTAGTCACTTTATTCAAATAGTATGTTGTGTTCTCTCCCTTGTCGTAGGTAGTCATGTTAAGTGCTTTATTTCTCGCAAAATTGCTATCTCGGAACTACAAAGCTCTATATGCTCGGCGCCTGGTTTTGAGAAAATTCACGTCAAATTTTTTGAGTTTCACATCATGTCAAGCTTTTTTCGAATGCAATTCTTTAATTTATATCTTGTTAATGACTCCTAATAGTCTCACAATTTCGATAGAATAAATTATAAAACATTAATTTGTTTTTTTTGTTTTTATCTCATTGTCTTAGTAACTCAAAACGGTCAAAAATATCAGACAGAACTTTGTAATAAATTCTAAGGTTTCGAAATGTCACTTCGACTTTTAACTTTCCTAGCCGCTTCCATTGATGGTCTCATTCCTTCTTTCTATTCTCATCAGGTACTGTGGACACCGCTACCAGCCATAGCTCTGAAACAAAAACCGCCGAGGAAGAGGGTAAGCGTATTGGTACAGGCAGCCCATTCATTATTAAATTATAAAACGGCTTTTACAGAAATATAACTTTTGACTCCTGGTGGTTTGCAGGAGGGAGGGAGGGGGAGAGAGGGAGAGAGGGTGGCAGACAGACAGACAGACAGAGAGACAGAGAGAGAGAGAGGGGGGAGAGAGACAGACAGACAGACAGACAGACAGACAGACAGAC